TCTCTGTCTCTGTCTCTCTCTCTCTCTCCCTCCCTCCCTCCCTCTCCCCTCCTTCTCTCCCTTCCCGCTTTCTTACAGGCACCCAGACCCCATCGATTTGAACCTCAGCCTCTCGGATTACCGGAGCGAGGGAGGTGGGGCCACCAGAGGGCGCTGGAGCCCAGTCTCTGACGTTCCTGCAGCACAGGGCCAGCAAGTTCAGAGTTTAGCATTCCGAACGCTCAGGACAGTGCAAAAGCTGGTGGAAACGGATGACTGCTTTTTCTGGCATGTTACTTTTTAAGCTCACGCACCAGGTCGAAGCGGTTCCTGATTTGAAGTTTGGTCCCCACAGTGTGCCTGACAAATGAATGCGTGCGAAGTGCTTGGTGGAATTGCAGAAGACACTCTCTTGGCTGGGACATTTTCTCTTGACCCCTGCCTCCCTTCTTTAGTCCCTAGGTGGAGCCCCAGGTCCAACAGTGCTGGCCACTCCTTCAAAAAGAAGATTCCCCAGACTGCCCCGAGACGATATACCCCCTTGAGTGGACGTGGTAACAGAATCCAAATCACTAAGTGGCTTCGTGGGAAGGGTGCGGACAAAATGGCCAGTACTGCCTGTGGCCGAGGAAGGCCCAAAGGACATGCGCTGCCCTCAGTCTCTCCACGTCAAGGCTGGGGTCCATATGCACCCCCTCGTGTCTTCCCACCCCCGTATCCACACGCCCGGGTTTGGGGTTGTTTTGGTTGAGCAGCGTGGAGAACAACGGCCTACTGGCATTTATACCTACTTTATAAAGACACCAATGACCACCTCCGGGAGCATTGTCCTAGGGAGGCAGGGAGTTCTTTGGTCCTTTGGAGAACATTGGACTTTCTTCGGGAAACGCAGGAAGTACTGAAGTTTAAGAAGCTGTTTCCAGCTTCCATTAACTGAGCGCCCATTAAAATCAAGTGCTAAGTGCGAGTCACGACGTGTCACGAAGTGAGTCTTTTCAGTCAGTTCTCCTCCGTTTCCACTCAGCGGGGTGAGAGCTGTGATCATCCCCAGTCCCCAGCCGACAGAAAAGGGATACAGGAGGGCGGGAGATGGCAAAGAAACTTCAGGTGTACTGAGAACCTCTGGGAGACCCTGTGGTCTCCTTCCACAGCAACACGGCTCTGCATCAGAATGCCATTTCCCAGAGTTTGATAGTGTGATATTTTGTCTGGGAGTCCCAGTTATTCTAACTGCAGACTGTGGTCCCTGTTCCCTGAGACAAAGAGCCTGGGTGCGGTGGGTCAGCTTAAGGTCCTGACACCAAAGCCAGGATTCTCCAACAATTTTTGGATTGGGGGTGAGGGGCGGGCAGACCCTCGCGCCAAGCGACTGTTTTGACTCACTGATGCTTATTTCCCCTTCGACAGCCACATGCCCTTAGTTTCTCCATCTGCATGATGCGAGCATTAAGCTCTACAGCCCAGTCTTTTTGCAGTTCAGGTCCAAGCAGCAGGTCCAGGTTGGAGACTGGGAAGATCAAAGGTCCCAGCACCCAGCGGGGCCGGGGACACCGAGGGCGCCAAGGGAGGTGGGAGGGACTGGAAGGGCGGACGCTCCGGCGGGGATGCGCGGCAGAGCCCCCCCCCACACCCCCCCCCCCCCCGCCTGCCTTTCGCCTCTAAAGCGCCCAGCGCGCGCCTCCCGCTGCCGCACTTTCACTCTCTGTCCACCTCGGTGTCCTCTCGCTGTCCATTTTTTTCTCCCGGTGATCACAAGGCTGCCCACGCCATGGACGCCAAGGTCGTCGCCGTGCTGGCCCTGGTGCTGGCCGCGCTCTGCATCAGTGACGGTAAGTGCAATCCGCGCCCGGGCCCGAGAAGGGCTGGCAGCTCTGCGCCGTGGCTCCCCCCGG